ATATACACACACATTTTTTTTTTTTTTAAATTACCAGTTCTAAAGTTTTTACCTAAAAACAACATTATTGATCTCCAACCAACAAAGCTAATGGTTATCCTTTAATTGTATTATGAACATCCAATCTGACACAGGACAGCCAATACATTTTGCAATTATAGTGCATCTACAGCTGCATTCCTGCCTCCTACTATATTTTACTAAATATGTAAGATAAATCCATTTGGTATTTCACAGTCACAAGAAAGCAGTTAAAATCAATCTACAAAGATGTATAATATACTGTATCTTACTTTTGTTGATTATTCAAAATAGTTTTTTTCCAAGCTGCTTTGTTTGCTTTTTCTTCATTTTCATATTTTCCTTGCTCCTAAAAACAATTCATTAGAGCAATAATTTAGAAAAAAAATTATGACAGATAATAACTACACTGAAATATGATATAGACACATTGGTGTCAGAAATTACATATCTGCTATAAGGTTAAGTTTACATGGGCAGTCAGGAAAGGGGGCGGCAGTAAAAACACTAATTGTTATTGCCCCTCGACCGCCCATCCACACAATGACAATGTGATGGCATAGGACCATACAACTGACGCAGCTATGATGCTTTGCTATGCAGTGCGACAATTTTACCTTGGCATGTTGAGTTTGACAGGCGGCATCGCTTCTCAAATTTACCAAGCATGTACTAAGCACTTGGCATGTGCTTGAGGCACAAGCACATGCCAAGTGCTTTTTAGTGTTTTTAATGTAAAATCTCTCTTGGATCTCTAAGCATCTTGGCCAATACAAACATCCACATTTGTGTCACATTTGTGAAAAACAATTGTTCAGCAGTCAGATCTTCCTAACCCCTTCTCTAAAGGCAACACACTTATTTTCAGGCATAAATGCAATTTCAACCAATATAAACCTTAACAATACAATTTTTTTTTCTAACTACAACATCCCTTTACAAACATCTGCCTGCAATAAATAATCAATGGCATTTTTTTTTGGCTTTGGATTTAAGTGTAGACACAATTGACACCAAAGAAAATCTGTTAGACATATGGTCATATCTGTCTTTCTTAAGGAGGTTATACACCTTACAACCATTGTAAAACTTTTTTTGTCGAGACATCACACCCTCATCCACTTTTCATTCAACTGGCCCATCAGGCACAAACCAATGTAGTTCGCACTTAACGTTCGACACATGATTCTCAACGATCGAAAGAACAGATTTTCGTTTGCGCATGTGCAGTTTTCATCTTGAAATTTTTTATTGTACAACGCCACTAACCCGTCTTTTCGTCCAACCAGACAAAAATTGTCTAGCCTGCTTGAAAGACAAAAATCTGCCAGTTGCACAGTAATTGAGGTTGTGCACTTCCCATCAACTGGCAGATTTTCAAAAGAAAACACGATAGACAAAAATCTCCAGATAATTCTAAGGTGTTTGGGCACCTTTATTCTAATACTAACCACATATTTAGTAATTTGTATTTCAATCAAATAAAAGATCATTGCAATTTCAGAGCAAACTGCCATTTACAGTTTCATTCGTTTCCCAGCTTATAGTGACCAAAAGATCAAACTGTATTACAGATTAACCACAAATTACCAAAATACTAGTTTGCAGCATAGTTTGGATCATTTGTTTTAAAAACAAAACATGAAACTACAGGCAGATTGTTGTGTACCATTCCTGGCTATACAATTGTTGCTTTCAATATATTAAATTGCTGAGTGCATGTTTCATATAATATTTCATGGCGTGTTTGAAAACACTGAACAAGTGCACACAAACTGTTGAACTAATGCACGATGAAAAGAAATAAAATTCATGAACACACTGGGGTTGATTTACTTTGCAAGGTCATTTTCCATTAGCTTAGAGAATGTGGCAAAAATGCACGTTGCAAAGAATACCCAATCATATGCAAGGAAAACAAAAACACAGTGGGGGGAATCTATCAAAACTGGTGCAGACAAAAACTGGAACAGCTGTGCATGGCAACCAATCAGCTTCTCTTTTTTTATTTTCAAATCCTAACTGAGCAAACTGAAAATAAATATTTTTGCTTGCACATGATTGGATGATGAGCTTTGCCTCATTCACTAAGCCAAAGAAAATTCCTTTGCAAACAGTCTATTTGCTTTTAGTAAATCAACCCAGCTGCACCCACAAGAATAATTAAAAAAAAAAGTGCAAGTCTATTATATGATTATGAGAAAATAAATTGTTGATCTTTATAACTAGTCCTGTAATTGATAGAAGAGGATTATGAAAAAAAAGATTAAATATGGTACGTAAATAAACGGTTTGGTAGCAATCAAAAAGAGCATATTGCAGATTTTTGAAAAGTTTTTTTTTTTTTTAAGAGACATTCTGGGTTAATGTCTCTCTGAAAACAAAATACTTTGACTGGCACTTGTAGAGCAACGTTGATGTTGACCATATGACCTATAAAGTGTACATAAAAAAAACATATTGATGGGGATTTATGAGAACTGGAGCAGACAAAATCTGGAGCAGCTGTGCATGGCAACCAATCAGCTTCTCTCTTTCATTTTCAAATCTTAACTGATCAAACTGAAGAGAGAAGCTGATTGGTTACTATGGGCACCCCCGCCCCAAGTATTCAAAAGCTTTCAAAGAGTATCATGTGAAAGTTTCCTTACCTTTCCCAATCTGTCTCCCTGTCCCCCCAAAAAATCTATGTGGATCTACTGAATTACTATCCTGTGTTACTTAACATACGATGAAGAAAATCAAATTACTAAAAGCTTCTACTCCTGTAGTTACGTGTTCATTTCAACAGGAGAAAATGGGTATTCGGTGAGCAGGTGCTCCCCAGAATCGGATTCCCCTGGTCTTAGAACTACTGTAAATAATGGAAAACAAGGACCTGAGTGAACAGGTATAATTACTAACTTATGTACTTTAAAACGCCATAAATAAGAACTGTATTTATATGACATCATTGAATAAATTACCACAAACATACCTCTTTAGCAGCTTTCACCAGGTCTGACTTTATTGGTGCACTTGGAGGAATACATTTGTACCCAGCGTGCTTTAGGGCATTCATGAATAAGACACCAGCAGCTTCATCCTCTTTTGTCAAACTGTCTTTATGATTGTGCAAAAGCTCAAAGACATAAAGAGCCAACTTGGGTCCATGCTGTAATTAGAAAACTGGTGAAGAACTAACCTAAAGCGCTTTTAAAAATAAATAAGTTACATCAGTAAACATTTCTATCACTTCTAAAAAAGCTAATTACTATTTACTTTCCCTGCTGGTGGATTTGGCTACAAGGATTGAATATAGCAGGGAAAAAATGCCTCCTCTGAGATCCACACTTCCAGCGTCTGACAGTGTAATGCAGACAGGTCTCTAGCAAATTCTGGACATTCTGGTATAGCCAGACGTGTGCCAATGTTTAAAAAAAAAAAATATTCCATTTAAATTTTCCCCTCTGCAGCAAATGTATATTTTTAATACAAAGTCAGCAAGACATATCCTGTGTCCCCAAATATGAATGTGTAGGTTGTATCAACAATTATTTCAATAAAATTGTTTATTTCCCTTTCAGCGCTGAAAGAAAGTCCACTACTGAAACTTATATGTATAAAGTTTTCTCTCTGAAAATGTTTGAGTGTTGAACTTAGAAGGCAACATTTTCTCTTTGCTGTCTTAACTGAAAATAAACATTTGCCATGCAATTTTTAGCTTTGCATAGGTAACATATTATTTTGATTTGGAGGTATTCCTAAAGAGATTGCCAAGATCTATTTTATTTTCCAAAACTTTGCATAAGTAATGCAAGATTAGTAGCACAGTAATCCCTTCTAGCTCTTTATATATTTTTTTGACTTAAGTAGGTTTTATTGAAAGAAAGTTTCAGTTATCCGGCACCTTCAGTGTCAGAGTGTTGGGTCCCTTTCTATACTGGCCTCCCCACTGCTGCTTTCTCTTCTATCACTGGCACTACATCACTAATACAGCCTACTACAGAGGCAGAGTCCGAGAGTTAGCACGCAGATCAGCCAACAGCAGGGCTTGCTGTTTCGATCATATCCTCCATACTCCGCCCTAAATTAGAAAAATTGTTCACGTTTCTACTTCTTATTGCCATCTCAGCAGGGACTGCTGTTTCTGCACCTGCACTGGCAGCTCCTCCCTAAGTCATCCACACTGTGACAGCTGTTGGTATACAACCCGCTGCTGCTAAGGGTTGAGCTGCCTCTTAGAATGCTGCAATCAGCCACTGCTATTTCTACTCTGGCACCAACTGCAGGAGGGGAGAACAGACTATAGATACATTTGCAGCTGCTGGCTGGTCTGTATGCACTCTGTCTTGGTGGTAGGCTGTGCAGCATCATGTGCCCAGCACACACAGGAATTCCATTCTCCTGGAAGTGAGGGATTCCTACAAAACATTAATTTACTTTTTTTTTAAAAAGGAAGAGCAAAATGGGAAAAAAAATATTGCATTTAATTTTGCTCAAATGCTACAAAATTTGATCTCGTGACAGGGTCTATTTAAAACACAACATTATATTTAACTCATCACTTTTATGGATTACAAAAAATTTGGCAATGTCTAACTGACTAGTGTAAACTAGTCCAACTCCAGTCCAGACATTTTTTTTGTTTTTAATTCTGAACACATTTGGAGATTTTTCTTCACTTCCTATCCCTCTAACATCGGTACAAGAAATGAGTGGCGTGGGCATCACCAGGACAGGGAGGCTTGGCCAGCAATTAAAACACTGTCAGCATTTCTAACAACTCCAAGTATTCAAGTCAATAAGTTTATTGACCCAAGTGAAAACACCTCTAGCAACGTTTCGGGACCATGCGACTCTCTGTTTGCCTGAGGAAGGGGCCGCATGGCCCAGAAACGTTGCTAAAGGTGTTTTCACTTAGGTCAATAAACTTATTGACTTGAATACTTGGAGTGCCGGTGACTTTATTATTTTGTACGTTTTTGACGGAGGCATCCGTTGTTGCTGCTGTACCCGCCCTGCTGCATGGGCATTTTCCGGTCAGGAGTGCGATGGGATACTTGGACTTTAGCATTTCTAACACTTCCTCACTCTACGTAATATGTGTTTTGCATGTATAAAATAGATTTTCTATCACTTTCTATCTTGCCAGGAAGTGATGGTAAATTTCCATAAAAAAGACAAACATCCTTCTCTATCCAAAATAAAATGCTTTGTCTTGTGTTGGCCTTTAGGTCTTAAAGTGACACTATGCTTATGAGTTAAAATTTGAAACGCATTTAAGTACCATAACTAATAACAAAAATGTATTATTTGTGTATCACTTTGCAGATCATCTCTGAAATAGGTGCTGACTCGATCCTTCCTTCTGGAGGGTGACTGCTTTTGTTCCCCATGGTCCCTGTGTATAACCTCACGTTTAGTTTATTAATTTGTATTGAGATTATAGTCCATTACGTGACCGAGCTTGGAGTGGTGACTACTTTACAACACAGGCAGGGAGCAGGGGGAAAAAATGTAGCCACCTGCCAGAATGAAGGACAGTGTCAGCATGAATTCAGAGATGATTTGAGGATCTACAAACGAGTGACACACAGATAAGGTATAGTTTTGTTATTAGTTAGGGTACTTGAATGCATTTTAAAAGTTTAACTCCTGAGTTTAGTATCACTTAAACATGAGTAGTAGAAACAAAGCAATTACACTTACTGTGATGCCTATACGATGATTATATAGACTCAAGTTGTGATTCTATTGACTATTAAAGGAGAACTATGGGGTCAGTGTTTTTCCCCATAGTTCTCCTTAGGGTAACGGGAGGACACAAACTAGCGTCCTCCCGTTACCCTAAGCTCAGTATACCACGAGACGCCGCGGCCGGAGCGCATGACGTAGATGACGGGATCCGCCCAGCTGCGTGAGTGACAGCTGTCTCTGCCTCTCTAGAGGCAGAGCCAGCTGTACCCGCCCCCTCCCCCATCCGATCTGCCAGTCAGCGCTGGCAGATCGGAGCGGGGAGAGGGGAATCCAGCCCCTCCCCCTGTCACGGCAGAGAGCCGTGACAGGATCGAGAGGTGAGCGAACCCGGTATGTGTTCGCTCACCTCCCGATCTACTGAGCCAACCTGTGACAGTCTGATTGTCACAGGTCGCCTAGAACTATGAGGTGAGTGGAAATCACTCATCTCATAGTTCTCCTTTAAGCAGCACTTACTTGCAAACCTGGACATAAGCATTCCTTTAACATATCTTCAAGTTTAGGTTCATTGGCTAATGCAAGGATTTCTTTTCGTTCTTCAGTGTGTAGAGATGGAGACAAAAGATGCACTAAGAGTCTTCCAAGCTGAACACGGAAAGTGTCATTACATTGCAAAAGAATTGTTTTCCACTGGTTCTTAGGAGAGCTGGTTCTACCTGAACCCTGCAAAAATTTAACAAAACAAAAACGCAAGTTTTTACATATTTAAAAAGAAAAATATATTAACTAATAAAAAAAGAGATGTGCTATGTCACCTGTTTTCACATGTTAAGAAGTTTCTCCTAAAAGGATTAATCACTGGTCTATAGTGCTTAAGCTCATTCAATTGACCACAATTATTGTAAAGTTGCATGGAACAATTAAAAACAAGTATACAGAGGTACATACATCATGAAAATGTCTCATTTTATTAAGGGTCAGTCTATGAAAATCTGGTAACGAAGTTTGACATGTACTCTAGCTACGTTCAACACCCTTCCGTCCAGGTTGCTCACAAGTTTTAGGGATCCCAAAAGACGTCTTGCAACTAAAATCTTAGCTACATCATTAGCCCTTCATCTGCTACAGACTCTTATAGAGAATCTAGCCAATATTAGGTAACATGTATATCACAAATGGGCGGCATAAAGATTACCAGGGTCTGTCACTGCAGATGATGACATACACTAATATTTTAAGGGTTGGTACACTCAAAACTAATAGACTTAAGGTTGCTGATTTTGGTTATAGCAATAAGACAAGTTTTATAATCCCCCTAAATGTTACATTAAAAAATAGACTGGCAAAGGAGAATGCCCCAAAAATTGCTGCTTCAGGTGGACTAAAATCTCTGGGGAAATATGTGAGGCTGACGGGTGATTCAGTTCTTCTGCACTTGTGTAGAAGTGACCTATCATTATTTTAGTGGGATGACACTTTAAATCAATTTGGCTTATTGTTGCTGACAGTATACAAGACCTATCTAAGAACAAACACAGTAAACTTGTTTTTTATTAAAATTGACAGCATGGTAGAAAGATCAAACACAATACGTTAATGTGCCAGCTAAAGTAAGCAAAATAAAGACGCATACCAATGAAAGCTTGATTCCTTCGATCATGATTTTTAGCAGGTCGCTTTGAAATGTCTTTTTAGCACACCATACATCCAACTGCATCTCATCTTCAGAAAATTCAGCTGGGTATGTCTTTTTCTCTGATAATTCTAAAACAAACAATTTGACAGGAATTTACATCTCATCATTCTGAAAGAAAGCAATACTGTAGTAACAATCTAAATATTTTCATCTGAAAAAAAAAAATATGCAATCACACTTCAATAAAAAAAAAAAAAAACAAACACTCCATAAGCAACGGTGATGCCGAAAGCTACCTGTAGAGAACCACAGATTTTTAAATGATTAAGCCCCATGGGCTGCAAATATTTTTTTTCCTGTGCAGTGAGGGAAAAAATATTACTATATCATGATCCTCTTAGAACAGGCACTGCAGATGCCTGCACATTTTTGCAGCTCTCAAGGTACTGTCTTCTGGGCACCCGAGTGTGAAAACTTGGCACCCTGTAAACATAGCCCTCAGTTTCTGAAGTAGAAAATACCCAATCCAGCACTGCCAACACCTTCTGAGTACCTGCACATCAGAATATTTTTTTATATAAGTAACCAGGATTCCCATAGATCCATGGTATGTGCTGACAGTGGTCAGACAAGTAGGTTCTTGGAGAGTAGGTTATTTGGAGAGTTCTCTTAAGCTAACCTTCTCACTTTAGGAATTCAGTAAGGCCGATGCCTCAGAAAGTAGTAAATATGCATCCAGGTTGTCCAACAAAATGGCAGGGGGGAGGGAGTCAAGGTTTGTATACATTATGTGCTAAGGTTTATAATACAATAGACTAATACAAGACAAACTATAAATTGCAGTAACTACAAGAGAAGAATAAATGACACACACACACACACACACACATATAATCTCTCTTAAAAAGTTCTACAAGAAAATGATGGCAACATAACACTGTACAGTGCTTAAATTTTATGTCAGATGCATACACATGTACTATAAATTATTGTGAAATGTATTGCTATTTATTGTTTCTGAATAAGACATACCTTGGTAAATTAACCTATTGACAGAAAGGACAGTCAATCTTTGTAATCGTTGCACAAACTCCGATTCAGAAGCCCTTATTGGATTTTCCTGACTCATTCTTCTGTGCATCAGTTCTGTAAGCTCACTGCTGGCAACTGAGCGCATGGTCATCAGTAGTGGGTCAGACTGGGCAAAGGATAATCTAGGAGTCCCTAAAAGACATCAAGTTGTTTGAAACATTAACACAAGTCCCATTTTTATTTAAACCAAACTCCAGGAAATATAAAAATAAACCAGTTTAATAATGATGCCTCCTATGTCTTATTATTGTGTTGCTTTAGATATACTTAAAGATTTACCAACAACCATAGGGCCTGTCTAAACAATCCATTAAATTTTATACAACCAACCAAGACTCTTGCACTCTATACTTGTTGGTAAATTTTGCTGATCCAACAAAATAAAACTAAGGAAATCTGACCGTCAGTGGCCATCTTTAGAAGTGTCATTACCAAAATGAACATACCTAAGGGGGAATTTCTCAAAACTGGAGTAGATAGAATCTGGGGCAGTAGCCCATGGCAACCAATGAGCTTCTCTTTTCAGTTTGTTCCGATAAGCTTTGAAAATGAGAGATAGAAGCTGATTCGGGGAGTTTATCAAAATATGGAGCAGATTTGCATTGCAACCAGAGAGTTTAACTGTACATCCCCGTTAATAAGGGCCCAAATGACGGTTCACATACACTGTACATAAGCAGCTTTTCGGGACTCCAGAATGCTGGTAATCCCAGAATGCCAGTTACCACTCATTAATGGATGCCTCACTAAGGAGGCATCCATTAATGAAAGTTTTAACCTTTTTCAGACACCAGGTCACGTTCAGGGATCGGGTTTCTGACCGTGATAGGAGTGCGGTGCAGCTGTAAAGATCAGGATTAGCAAATTTCGATCTGTGCCGGCTTTTTGCTAAATGTTTCAGCATAGAAACTAGAAAGTAGCCACAATGATCAAAAAAGTATTTTGTGACATCTGTTGCTGACATGCTGCAGTGCATGTCAGTCTCAGTGTCACTAAGGTTATTATTGGCTGTTCCCAAGGTTGGAACCAGTGGCGGATCCAGGGGGGGCAATTGACGCTCGATCGCTTGTATTAGCATCTGTCACTGCCGTTGCCGGTCCCCGAGATCCACGGCTCTGTGAAAGAATATCAAAGGAAGTTCAGTATACAAACTCCCTTTGATCTCCTCTCAGTCCCCGAATGCAGGAAGTGATGTATATTACATCACTTCCTGCATTCAGTGTCACTCTCCAGCTACAGAAGAGATCTGCTTCATCAGCTTCTCTAGGGGTCCCTAGGTGACATTAAGGGTCTTGGAGACCCCTGATGTCTCCATAAAGAGGACCTGTAATGTAATTTGGCTATCACATAGGGGGCTTCTTAGCCCCCCATGTAATAGCAATAAAGCTCAGTATCTTGCGGTATACCAAGACACCGCAGCTGAAACGGATCCCGACAATTATGTCTAGATCCACCCAGCTGCATGAATGACAGCTGGCTCTGCCTATCTAGAGCCATTAATCACTGATAACACTAAACTGATGAGCAGTAAAATCGTTTTAATCGTCGCCTATGGGCGTTTTTTGCGATTTTGCGGGCGCACACAATTTTAAGGCTTGACATGTTTGGTGTCTATTTACCAGACTTTTATGTTTTACTAAAAATATGGGTAAGAATAAATGTTTTATAACATAACGTAGGGAAACTTTTTTTTTTTTTTTACATTTATGGTACTTTTTTTATTATATAGTAAAAGAAAATAAATCACCCCCCCGTGGTGATTATATACCTCCAAAAGAAAGCTATGTCTGTCCCCAAAAAATGTTAACGTAAATTGCAAGGCTATAGTCCGGTCATATCCAGCCCACCCCCCATTCCCCTGAGAAGCTCTGCTATTGCAAGTGACAAGGAGAAGCTTCGCAGACATTGATGCTTGCCCCCCCCCACCACCCAAGAGAGGAAGAAGAGGGCATGAGGACAGAGCACATCACCACTGTAAGTCCCTTTTATATCTTACAACGGTGACCTCCGCACTGCGTCACATTACTGACCTCCGCACTGCGTCACATTCCTGACCTCCGCACTGCGTCACATTCCTGACCTCCGCACTGCGTCACATTCCTGACCTCCGCACTGCGTCACATTCCTGACCTCCGCACTGCGTCACATTCCTGACCTCCGCACTGCGTCACATTCCTGACCTCCGCACTGCGTCACATTCCTGACCTCCGCACTGCGTCACATTCCTGACCTCCGCACTGCGTCACATTCCTGACCTCCGCACTGCGTCACATTCCTGACCTCCGCACTGCGTCACATTCCTGACCTCCGCACTGCGTCACATTCCTGACCTCCGCACTGCGTCACATTCCTGACCTCCGCACTGCGTCACATTACTGACCTCAGCACTCTGCATTATTATCGCTCCCTCCTCCGCCCCTCTGCTTGGCCCGGCCGGCCGCCCTGAACATTCGGGACCAAAAGCAGAGGCTGCACTTTAGTCAGGCAAATTAGGCGGCCGTCTCGGCCCACACAGGGGCTTTGCAGCTGCCTAATTTGTGTGAGTACAGACCACCCAAGGCTGGCAGCGGCGGAAATATCCCAGAAGGAGAGGCCAGGTGAGTGCGTTGTACCCCGGGGAAGAGGCGGGGGGCAGTGGACACATAGGCAGTGAGAGAGGAAAAGGGTGGCACAGTAGCAGTGGAAGAGCCAGATTGGACTCTGGATCCGCCCCTGGTTGGAACAGCCTAATAATAACAACCACAAATTAACTACATACATACATATATATATATACACATACACACATACATACACATATATATATATACACATACACACATACATACACACTATCATTATTATAAATATTAACCCCTTACAATGAAAATCTGCAGCTGAGCTGAAGATTTGTTTTTCACCCTGAGGGGTTACGTTTTTTTAAATTTAACCCCCTCATGACGGGGATGTTCAAAGTATGTCGATGTCACCAGGTGTGACACTTAGTGACAGTGACATTGTATGCCACCTGTCTAACCTGGTGACCAATATTAGCTGTGAGAATTTTTTTTTTTAATGTTAGCTTCTAGTTTAAGGGTTTAAGGGTAACAAAAACATTTCTGAAATCCTAGAGATGTGAGGTGTTTCCAAATAAAAGGACAAATAAATGAATTTATTTGAATGCATTTTTTTTTAGCTGTGCCATTTTTCTTAAAAAAAAAAAAAAATGTATACAGCCCAAAACCTATGAGTTGACCAGTATTCCTGAATACTTCTCAGCTTGTTTTGCTCAATTGTATTTCATACGTTGAATTACAGGTACTGGTATTCCCATGGCATGGGTGATTACCTTACTAATAAATACTTAACTGCTAACCATACGGACAGGACCTTTTCTTCATAAAACCACACTGATCCTCTATTAGACGATGTTTCAATACATATTGTTCTATATCATTATTTGGATTACGTTTAATTTATTAAAACAGAAGTCATACTGTCTCCCAGTTCTAACTTTTTAGTCTAACAGTAAAATATCATCTGAATTCCAACCTTTTGGAACTGTCCAAGGTACTTCCTTAACTCCGAGAAGACATGAAACATAATTTAATCCAGTTATGTATGAATTAAAATTACTTTACAAAAGGCTGCCAAAAAGCACATCAAGCTGGCTGTGCCAGCTGGTTGGTGTGTCTGCATCACCAGACTGAATTACAAAACCTCTGGCAGGAAAAACAGTAAATAATGTATTTAGCTGTCTGCTTCATATATTTATCTTTTATTCCTTTAGAATCTGGGCATTGATGCCATCTGGGCCATTTTGCTAATGGTTAAATACTAGAGGTACACCGAAATGGGAATTTTAAAACCGAAACCGAAATAAAAAAAATTGTCAGGCCGAAACCGAAAATGTTTTATTCTAATTTTTTTAAAATCTTTTTAATTTTTTGATATTTTTTATTAAATATTTTAATTGTTTACATTGCTTTTAGGGGCTTCGGGGAAATATTGGGGGTCTAAACAGACCCCTGATGTTTCCCATTTAAAATAGAAAGATAGTCCTCTATCTCTTTTTCTGTATCCCCTGTTATCAATTAACAGGAATGAGTGTTCCTGTTCATTGATAACATGAAGACATGGTATGTTTACTATACCTACAACTATGAATGAACATGAGGTGATGCAGATCACTCCCATTCATTCATAATTGAGGATATAGTGAACATACCCTATCCTCAATTATCTACAAACACTCAGCGATCACCGATCGCTGAGTGTTTGTGCTCGCTCTCCTCTCTGACACGCTGTCACAGGAGGCTGATCGAGAGGAGCAGGGAGGTGAGCCCAGCATCCGCTCTGCCGGACTGTGATAGGCGGCCAAGTGGTGTGGGAGGAGAGAGACGCCGGCCGCTCACAGTGCACTCGGCCTGCAGCGCTCGGCCGGCTGTCACTTTCTTTTCTCCCCGCTGGAACACAGAGCAGCGCCCAGCGGGGAGGAAAGAAAGCAGGGATGCCCCGATGTATCGGCCGAAACATGGCTCTTTCGGCATTATGCCAAAAGTGCCATTTCCGGCCGATATGTTTCGGTGGCCGATATATCGGTGAATCCCTAGTAAATACACCTCTTCCTGCATTAAAAATTAATGTTAAATCAAGAGTACTGCTTATCTATTTCCACCATATTATGCACTATTAACAACTCCTTTGTGAAGACAGATACAAAAACTGGATTTAAGATCTCAGCTTTTGCTTCGTCATCCACAATTTTATCTCCAAAGTTATGAGAACAAAAATATATTATTTTGGAATAGAAGAAATTTTTTTTCTCAAGTTAAAAAGAAACTCTAAAGCACGCAATACCAAGAAACTAATACCATCCATCTTTGAATAGATCGACCTGTTATCTGAAGCGTAAAGCGTTGTGTTTGAATTTTGTTTAACAAAGTTTATGTTTATTGAAGTTTGATTAACTTCCCCTGGTATTATTCTCATTATATTGTTTAACAGGTTCCTCAGCTTGGGTACGAATTAGAATAAGTTTTCATTACTTTCTTTCTCCATTCCCTTCAGGTTGGGCAGAATGGCCTTGGTTGGTGATGTGAAGGTGTAATGGTGGATGAAAATAAGTTAATTACTTTTACACTATATAATGAAGTAAACTAAGTTTATAAAATCATTTCCCCACTTACCAGATATACTTTTTGTTTTCAGATGCTTCATATGAGAGGAATGGCTGAAGCTGGACACAGGTTGGGAGTCTTGATGTGAAGTTGTTTTTATAAACTCAATAGCTGAATGCAAAATTTTGAACTGCATTAAAACTGCCATGTCTATACAGAAAAATAAGTAATAACACGGATAAAGCATACCATCTTGCAATAGTATATTAATATAATGATTAATAAAATTAAAAGCGTACAATATCTCTAAAGGAACAGGAAATCTGAATTACAATTTAGGTTGTATTTTGTAATACAATTTATAACAAACTACCTAAATGCTTCTGAAGCTCATCAGATCAAAATACATTTACATTAAACGCAGTTCAGAAGTGAAAAAGTGTGTTTTTAAAAAGAGAATTTTTGACTTGCCAGTAAAATCCGTTTCTTGTAGTACAGTACAGGACACACGCAATTCATAGACGACTGGGTAATATGCAGGTATCATCAGGTGATTGGACACTGACCAGATCTGTGAGGACCCTCATATAACCCCTCCCACTCCAGTAAATCCTCAGTTTTTTTAGCAAGCAATAGAGGACATAATAGTGAGGGTGCTGTGTCCTGTACTCCACGAAATGGATTTTGCTGGTAAGTCAAATATTCTATTTTCTTGATCGTACAGCACAAGGCACAAGCAATTCATAGACATCTGAGCCTACTGGAAAAAAAACAACTGGGGAAAACATGACAAAGTGAATGATTTGTGCAAGTCCACCTCCAGTGATGCTCTGTGGCTTCTGCGCTTCTTTCCCCAATTGGAAATTTCGTTGTTTGGTGAGAAAGGTGGGTATAAATGGTCATAATTTGAGATTGCAGTGGTATGGGACACCAGAGCTTGAAAGTGGAGTTCCACACTCAGAAGACACCCTCTTAACTGTGTTTTTAGGTTTCTATTTCCCCACCAAAATGCGACTACAATGGCGTTCTAAATTTCTCATTTTGTGTCAAAATATAAATACACCAAAAGACGTACTTTGCAATATTTCATTTTTGCTTTCATTTAAATATCCAAGTAGTATAATTAAATCTTCAACAATACGAAAATACTGAGATCCAGATGAGCTGCAGGCATGTATTGTGACAGCTATCAGTAGCTGCTGTAAATCACAAGCAAGTAAAATGTATTCATCCAGGGAAATACTAAAAAACAATCAGAAAAAAAGCTGTATTAATAACTAAACTTTTCTGTTACAGTAATGATCATAAAACATGCACATAAACCTACACATTTAAAGCATTATTAATTCAAAAGAAAAAGCAAAATACAAGTTTTACACCATGTCTAAGCAGGACCAATCTACAAAAAACCTCCAAAATTAGGTTTGTATACACAAATAATGTAAAATCTACACATGTACAGTCAAACCCCAACTCTGGGCAAAGAAAAACCCTACACTGCAAGTGTAAATGCGCACTTTTACCTAGGTGTAGAGGAATAAGGAGTAATAATTAACTCACTCCTCCAGCACGTTCTCTTCATCAGTGCAACTGGTCCTGCTAAGCCTCCTCTCTAATGGGCTCTCGGTCATGGTCACAAGCCTGCCTCCTCCATGCAATGACACTAAGCCCTCGTTCACACCTGAACGTTTTGTAGCGCGCTCCCACCTTGGCGTATTTCCGCCCGTCCCTAACGCGCTACAAAACGGTCCACGCCTGACAAGGTACATGTATTACTTTGGGCCGTTTTGTTGCGCGTTTCCATTGGGTTACAGTCAAGTAGCCTTCGGAAACGCGCGTTTGTCGCGCAACTTTTTTACCGCAAATCGCGGTAAAAAACGCGCGACAGACGCACATATGCAATACGCCTAGGTGTGAACGAGACCTGAGGGATGGCCCACAGCCTGGAGGCCCAGGCAGAAGATCACACCACCAGATCAGGGGTTACATTAAGTAATACAGCCTCTTCATCTCACCTCAGAATTAACAAGCATTTAAATCTTACAGCACATGGGGATCAACTGCAAAGGTTTGTTTTTTTTTCTCTTCTCCCCCAGAGTTAGACTTTAAAGGGAATGAACATTGGCTTTGTACATGTATTTTATGTTTAGGACTATAAAATAAAATTCAAAAAAATATTTGTTCTTACTGAAATATACATTTGTTTATATCAATATTATGTAGTTTTATATCCAGACAACAGGTGGAGTTCTAGTTTCATTTTTACATCGTTAGCATGATTATTTTTGAGCTGTGCTGAAAGAAGCCCATTGAGGGGAATTTATCAAAATTGGAGCAGACAACATCTGCAGCAGTTGCCTATGGTAACCAATCAAGTAAGATTTGGAAATGAGACAGAGAATCTGATTGGTTGCCATGCACATCTGCTGGAGATTTTGATAAAGTCCCCCCCCCTGTGTATAGAATCCTGTACAAGTCATCGGACAAGTCACTCATCCCTGATCAGAGGGCTAAAGCCAAAGTTTATATCAGACTACAGCTAGCCAGACACTGCACAGTCTGAATGTATAATCTCTGTACAATATCCTTTCAATTTACAAAAAAATAGATATGAAGACAAACTTAAACAATCCATTGGATTTGTATTGGATGAGGCACTACATACAGGTGAAACTCGAATAATTAGAATATCGTGCAAAGTTCATTTATTTCACTAATGCAACTTAAAAGGTGAAACTAATATATGAGATAGACTCATTACATGCAAAGCAAGATAATTCAAGCCGTGATTTGTCATAATTGTGATGATTATGGCTTACAGCTCATGAAAACCCCAAGAACCCCAAATCCACAACCTCAAAAAAGTAGATTATTACATGCAATCAATAAAACAAGGATTGTACATAGAACAATATCGGACCTCTGAAAAGTACAAGCATGCATATGTACTCAGTACTTGGTTTGGGCCCCTTTTGTAGCACTTACTGCAATTACTTTTGCATGATATTCTAATTATTCGAGTTTCACCTGTAGTTGATCAGATTGTATAATGTATATGGCTCTGGGATGACCCAAAACCATTTATATTTCCTTGTACATGGTGTAAAGATAATGGCCTATGAGCCAACAGATAATGGCCTATGAGCTAAACAAATGTGGCTTTTCAGGCATTCATTTTTCACTTCGTTTTAGCAAGACAATTAGGTTAAAAAAGAAAAAGGTATGATCCTGTGCATGTTGCACATAAATACACATCTCTAGTTATGAATTAGGTTTTGCAAAGGAGAGAAATCTTTTACTGAAAATTAAATATGGTGGGGAAAGAAGGACACGCGCAGGGCAGGATTTACTCCC